GCGTAGTTTAACCCATTATATTTGCCAAAGACGATGTGAATGTGTTGTGATTTCAACACATGTGTGTGCATCAACAGTGAAACAGTGAGATGGATCAAAGCTGAAAAGTGGCCTAACTATGCAACTAAATTCATATATTTATTACAGCTACAAACAATTGCTTTTACGTGACATATGTGATGGTTATTTTGATACTAACAGTGTAGTATGTCTCTCCACGGTAAAATTCAAACCTCTGTATGGCAGAGCCCTATGTGGAGTGGGATTTTGAACAAATTAGATTTCACAGTAAGTGGGACTACACAGTGCTATGACCCAAATCAGAAACCAGATGATTGTCAAATTAGCATCACGCTCCGGTTAGGACAAAAATATGGGTCCCCGAGCTTTCTACAACCCACCAAAGCTCGCCGGTTTGCCTGCCAGCTTTACTCGGTTCGTTCAACAATGGACAATGGCCGCCATCCGCCGTAGCTTCCGCCACTGACAATGACGAGGCAACTGCATCTGTGGGGGAGCCCTGCAGCTCTATCCTGGCGTCGGACAGTGAGGACTGGGCGAGCTCTGTGGACCTCCCCGTCTCTGCCGCCAGTCGTCAGGGAAACTGGCCAGCATCGATTTGGAACTGATGCATCTGCTGTCACGCGGGAGTGGGAGGCGTTCGCGCACAATCGGCTGTACGGATGTTTCCTGCAAAATGACCACGTCCAGTGGAAGAAGCTGTAGCGGCCCATCTTTGCCCGCCCTCTGCTGAACGGGCAAGACGGCGTTACCTTCCAAAGCTTGCCGTACTACTTCCGCCATGCTGACCCACGCTTACTCCGCCACCGGGCAGGCTGTGTCGGCATTACATTCGATGGCCATACTGCAGATACTATAGGCCGACCTTCTCCGAAAAATGGATGAGGATGGACTGGAAGCTATCAGCGTGCCGGATTTAAGAAACGCTATGGACTCTTCACGCTGCGAAATTCGCTGCACAGGCCATTGAGCGGACCATGGCTTCAGACGTCACAGGCTATGAAGCAATTCTTCCCGAAGCGCTCTAGCAGCAAGTTGCTCAAAACAGCTGTCTGCTCAAAGCTCCCTGCCACAGTCTCCACCAGCCACCACTTCACAGCTCCGTCAAGCCCCGGACCAGAGACCACGCTGTCGCTCCACACTCTCGCCGCCGGCCGCAGGTTGCCACCCCCCTCCACATGGGCCCCTGTAATGGCTGAAGATTGAGATAAAGCCAGAGGCCTCAAAGTCTTCCTAGCCCTCCTAGGAAAATGACGGTGTTCAGATCTCGCCGTGGCCAGACTTCCACCAAAACTTTTCGGTCAAAACAGTCAGCTCAGGCCGACAGTGTTTTCAGTGCAGTAAATGTGCCTGCTGTCCCACGCCTACACTCACAGACATGTTAAGCCCCACGGGGCTCGCACTGCTCGCTCTCTCTCAGCAAACTGCTAGAAACGAGCATGGTCAGGCTGCCCGCTGCAATCGGCGTGCCCTCAGCCTCAAATGCTGCAAGCACAGTGTTTACGTTACAGCATACCAAAGCTCTCCTTTCGCCACTATATTGTGGCCAAAGCCCAGATCTCATTCTACCCCTAGATAATCATGCAAATGCGTGGGCAAATCTTCCCAGGGTATCAGAATGGATGCTGAACATTATAAAAAGAGGCTATTTGCTGCATTCCGCTCGACATCCCCACTGTTATCCGGTGCAGGTCAAAACTACAGTAAAAACCATAGAGATCTTAGACAGTTGAACAAAGTGCTTGTGAAATGCCAGTTCAGAATCCACACAACTAGGAAATTACTCACACAGATTTGCTAAGAGGACTGGTTTATGACAATAGATCTGAAGGATGTGTATTTCCAAATACGAATAGCGTCACTTAACAGGCGATTCTTGAGATTCGCCTTCGATGGCCAGGCATATGAATACACAGTACATTTACAATGTGCATGGACGCTGCTCTCGGGGCATGCGAGTTTTGAACTACTTGGACGATTGGCTGATTCTAGCTCGATCACACTCAGAGCTCATAGAACACAGGCCCATATTACTCAAACATTTCAAGAATCTAGGTCTCAAAGTCAATTTGGCGAAAAGTTCACCTGAATTTGGGACCAGACAGACTGTCAAGAAACAATGTTCCAGCAGGAGAATGGTCTCTGCACCCGCAGACGGTCCTACTGCTGTGGGAGACATTCGGCAGAGCGCAGGTAGACCTGTTTGCGTCCCAATATAACACTCACTGTCCGAAGTTTTGCTCCAAGAGCAGGGATGTGCTGGTCCTCGTCTGGCCCCGCTGACTACTCTATGCTTTTTCCCCCATCTCGCTCCTGCCTCAGGTATTGGAATGAATCAGCGAAGAAGGATGCTCAGTGCTATTTGTAGCTCTGCTCTGGAAAAACCAGGCTTGGTCCCCGTTCTGATGCAGCTGACAAGCACCGTCCCATGGCCAATACCGATGAGGAAAGACCTCCTCTCTCAGGCCAAGGGCTCGAGATTTGGCATCATCGCCCGGAGCTGGTCCCTGCACTCATGGGCCATCAACGGGTACCCACAAACCTCCCGGAGGGAGTGTTAAACATGATCACGCAGGCTAGAGCCCTGTCAACTAGACGACTTTATTCCTCAAAAAGGTCTGTGTTTTCTGTTTCTAGCATTTACAAAACCTATACTATACGAGCCCTGGGCACCTGCCCTTGGGACTTTGGTGTTGGATCCCAGCATGCACAGCGATTTACACTATGTACCCCTAGCGTAAGATTATGCAGTACGAAAGAACCTCTCATAAGAGATCGTACTCGGTTATTATCTTTGCCGTGTCTGCAACACGCTCTGGTTCGCTTCAGCGCTGAAAAGCCCGATTATATCACTTTGGCGGGAGGTGACGTAGTGGGCGCGAGGCTCCCCCATTGGTTCTTACATCCCGTAGGACAGCCAATAGGCACACGTCTGAATGCATGCATCTTCTGATCTAGGCTGTTCGTGTTTTCTACAGTAGCCTTCCGTTCTGTAGGCTTATTAAGCTAAAAATAGAAAATGTATGCAAGCTCTCAGATAATGCTAATAATACTGTCCATCCTTTAATTATCTCTAGTTTCGATGAATATATAAAAGCTGACTGTAAGAAGCAGGTCTGCTCAGTTGAAGGAACGGCCGGCTTACACAGTTAGATCTAGTGATGACTGACAACATCATTCATGGATTAACTCATTGAGCAGATTCCAAAACAGTCCCGAGTAGCCTGACCCATCTGTCATGACCAAGAGGAGAGAGTATTAAAACATGTATATGCTTGCATTTAACATGCTTTGTGTGAAAAAAAAACACTGGCTTGGAGTCAACTTATGCATCTTGCTGGTATTTCCCAGTTTCAAATTTTTGGGGGAAAAAAGTGACTGAAAGCAAAGCGGCCCATGGCATTGTTAAGGAACAGTGAATGCTGTGCTGAAATCCAGCTCTCTATAAAGTTAATCTGTCAGTTTGCCATATGGGTTATCCCTGACTTGTAACAAGACAGGTGGGGGCAGGGAAGAACACAAGATACTAGATTTTAGCTAAATGGAAGAAGGAATTTCAAAGTTTTTCCGGGTTCAATACAAGTTACGCTCAATCTACAGAAACTGTGAGTGAATGATTGACCCAGCATTTCTTTTCCTTAAAGGGGACATGAAGTCAAAATCCATCCAATATATTTTAAAATGCATGTTACTGATCTTGAAATATGTTTGATTCATAGTTTTTATCCACTCTTAATTTTTAATTAAAATATCATAACTTCTCTCTGGTAGTATGGACTTCCCCAATCATTTCAGTCCACTTAATCCCTGCCACTTTCTTAAATTCAACCTCAAGCTTGCATTTAGATCTGCCTCCATCCGATCAACACTCGATGGATAGATAGAACCAAGCTCCCGCGCTACATTTTTTTTACCAATAATCCATTTCAGTCGTACATCACAACATACGAAAAGATGTGTCGCTTCTTCAGTTTCATTGCGACTTTGAAAATTAATTAAAAATTTTCAGACAATTTTATAAAAGCACAAGGAAACAAAGTCCAGCTGAAATAAGAAAGACATTGATTTGATATAAATAAATAAAAAGTTAATCAACTGAGAAGTTAATCAACAAACCCAGCAAACCAATAAAAAACAAACCCATCCAAAAATCTCAAAGGTACTTAATCAAAAGCCTTACATGATTAAGATCGATACATAGCCTATGAATTTGACTGACAGGGAACACATTCAATAATTATATTCAATATTAATAACACTGCGATCAATATCCTGTAGCAGAATATGACCCTAATTGGACTGACTATCACCATTCAGATATGCAGGGGAGTTCATTGACCGTCTGGGCCGCCAGGAACTGACCCTGTTTGGCCTCCAGTCGATACGGTCTCAATCTGCTTGGGAAAGACTTACAGACTATCCTGAAAACATCCTCTGCAGGTGCACTGCACTAACTTGAACCCTACTGAGTAACAGACTACTTGTTTTGAAGGTTTGGGCATACTATTCCAACTTGATGTCTAAAGGTACCTGTTAACATCTAGTGTTTACATAAAGTCATAGTGCACACATTACTGGAATTGCCAAGAAATGCTAATGGTCTTTTCAAGTTCAGTTGTTGTTTAGTCTCATACAAGGCTGATTCAGTGATTAGTCCAGTGTTATTGCTAATGCAGCACAGATGTTAAATAAAGAAAATAAATTCTTCACCAGAAGAGTAATCTGTGACACAATAACAGCATTTTCAAGAATGATTGTACAGGGTATCAAGTTGCAGCTTAGCGCATTTAAAATATTTTTAAGAGATTGAATAGGCTACTTAAAGCATGAAGTACAGTATAATATGATCTGTGGCTGTTAACATACAGACTCATGACATGATGTAGACTCAGTACATGATGAATTGGTTAACTACATTTACAAATGTCAAAAAAATTGCACATAACTTTGTGAAAAACATGTGCCATAAAATAACTCACTATTTCGGTTGGTCTTGATCTTGGCCAGAAGTTTATGAGCTAAGGGAAGGTCTCCATTCTTCACAGCCAGAAGAAGGTCCTGCTCCTTGCCCATGGCTCTTGTCCAGCTCCCAGAAGTGTGTTACAATCTGGATTCACAATGCCATGGTTCTCTCGGTTCACAAAGCCAAGGATTTGGCTTTTGGTCTAACTTATTATTTTTTTTAAATATGGACAAAACATTTAGCACATTGAGCTTTTAATTTGTATTTGAGTTGTTTTTAAAGTCCTATGCTATTGAGCATGCTAGAGCAGCGTGTATATTGAATGTAAGCCATCCTTAAAGCCAGAAACATCACATGGAAACCTATGGGAAAACACACATGCAGTGCTATCATTATCATAAATCACTTTAATATATTTGAGCATAAAACACAGTTTCTGAAGAAACCAGTGTATGGAATATTGAGTCTATAGACAAATCTATTTAATTTATCTTTCATTTGGAATAAACAGGCAACCAATCACTTCCAAGACAACCTTAGAGCGCTACTGTAATCATTTGGTTGTTATGTAAAGTACCGTAGGACGTATAATAAGATGTTTGGAATAACCCTAAGCAATAATGCCAACTTTCCTGACCAGTTAACTTGTCTGAATTTTTTTTTAATCAAAAGCTAAATAGGGAATAGCCTTGTCATGTACAAAGAACTGAATGATAACATACTCACCAATACGTAGTAAGATCGATTAAACGCTTAAAGCCACTTATTCCACGAAACCGAGGTAGTTCAATAAGTATAATCCAGTTTAAGATTTCTGTTCATGTTGTAGAAATCGCTAAAGCGCAATGCCATACTTGACTGCGTTTGACAACACAAGTGACCGGTGCGTGAGCGTGCGCGCGTCTGTTACGCGCCTCCCTGGTGTAACTCTCTTCCTGAAAGGTGCGCTTTTAAGTCTCGCGCTTAAATTAAACGATTCCAAACAAGAAAAAAATATGATAATGGCGAATATATTATCACATTCTCTAAATGTTTACCTCGACGGATGCAAAGTTCTAAAGCTATCTTATAGCTATATGTTGTGCAGTTTGCGTTTGTGTTAATCAATAAGTCTAACCTAACAGTTATCTCTCACAATTGTCTCCAAATGATTTGATAGCATAGTGATGGCAGACATCACAACAGTATCACAGAAGTCACTGTTGTTTCTAAACTAAGTGCGACATCTAGTGCCTTAACGATGTAATGCCCCAGCAAAGTTCCTACACACACACACACACACACACACACACACAAAGCCTTTTTTTTTTACATTTATGTAATTTATTTGAAAAATTGATCAAGGATAGTTCAATCCAATTACGTAAGGATTATTTTGGTCATTAAAGAAACTGAATTAGGCTACTTTTAAGAAACACAGATTCACTTAGATATCAGATTTTCCCAAATACAGCCAGATCAATTTGTCTTCATGAAATTTCCTCCAGGTTTTCATCTCTAAACTATAATCGTGATTAGCAAAAAACACTAGTTTAGTGTATTTGGAGTCATAGTAGTAGTTTGGATATTTTCGATAGTCGATCGTGCTAAATCCATAGACTCTCACCTACATGAAGAGCAAGAAAAACAAGGCATCACTATAAAATGATACACTCAGGGATAAGGTCATCTGATAAAATAAACATAAATGCCAATAAATAAGTAAACAACTGTGCATATTTTTAAAGATCACTTACAATGTCACACGTGTGCATAGCCAGCATAAGTGTAAATGCGCCATTCGTGGGTCTGACCAACCACCATCTTTTAGTTTTCAATTGTTTTGCTTTAAGAAACCTAAAATGAAAAGTGAGAGAGATGAAATGACAAATAATGAAATGGTAACTTCATGCACTAAACATATTGTGCATGTGTGCACATTTGAGCCCCTACCTGTTTCGCACATATCTCAGAAAGTCCGGGTGGAGGATGTAGTAAGAACTTTCATTAAAATGCCCACTGTAATAATTCCTTGGCCTTCAAAATAATAAATAATTGAAAGTTAGGCATATGTAAGCAAAATCAATATCAGTGTGTAGACGACAATCATCAACAAGGTTGATCGCTCTTGTTTTTGTTTTATAATGACAAATATTGATTGATAATTACATTTCTGTTAGAATGACTTACGTTCGTCCATGATATTCTCCTGATGGGATTTTTCTGTTCTTCATAAGGGACTCTAAAAAGTTGTAGTCTCTTGGACCCTCAGGGATTAGAACATATTTAATGCCCTTCCATATAAAGGCCACAACAACAACAAAAAATTAGAGGTTCATACAAAGCAGCTCAAACGAACAAGGGATAGTTAAGACAACCTTGTCAGTAGGAATCTGTTTGAAACCTCTGTTTTTGTGTAACATGAGGGACTGGATTAAGGAATGTGCAGTGTGCACATAAACAGATGTCCTTTTCCCAACATCCTCCTCATGCCCTGCAATAATGGCGGCATTCACTCTATCAGAAACAAACAAATCAATAAGTGGTTTTATTAAATCAGTAAATAAAAAGGTCAATATCACTATAGTCAATCAGTCGATTTAGAAGCTTTTACAAGATATCCTGATTTACACATTTTCTCTTTTAAAAGTGACTGATTTAATCTGTATTTAAACAATGTTTGTTCTTGATAACTTCTAAGATTTACCTAAACACATAATCATTAGAGTCAATCTCCATTCCTTGCCTGGAGCCATTGAGAATTCCAGCATTCCCAACAACAGCACAGTGAATACAGCCATCTTTCGTTCTTGTGGGAACTTGTAGTAACTGGGTAGATGCAAGCTTAGGGATGGTGTCAACAGCTGCTTTTATGGCTATAAAAAAAGAGGAAATACAGCATTATTTTAGCGTAATGCTATAATAGTGAACAATATGATCATGTTCATGCTTTATGATTACACAAACCTGTGTAATTGAGTCCCATATAGCCAAAGGGGTTGTTAAAGTGATAAAGCCGGTTCCACTCACTCACATTGACATGATCGCTTTGTAAAAACAGCTGAATGTTTGGAATAAACTTCTCCATAAACACTGGATTAGAGGAGTTTCGCAAGGATGCCATGCATTCCTGAAAAACATGTTGGAAACATCTTAAACCATGTAAATCCTGTAAATGGAACAGTTTATTGTACCTTTAGACAATAAAATGTTTCTTCAAGTTTTGTATACAATACCTGTCAAAAGCAGCACAACTGTTTTCAACATTGATAATAGCCTAATGTTAATAATAAAATGTAACCCGAGCGCCAAATCAGCTTTTTAGAATGATAAATCAATTAATTAAGAAATCAATTAGAATGATTTCTGGAGGATCAATTGACATTAAAGGCTGGAGTAAAGATGCTGAAAATTCAGATTTCATTACAGAAATAAATTACATTTTAAAATATATTCAAATAGAAAACAGTTATTTTAATTTGAAATAATATTTCACAGTATTACTGTTTTTACTATATTTTTTATTAAATAAATGCAGCCTTGAGCATAAGAGACTCATTTTAAAAACATTACAAACGTGAAGGTTTCCAAACACGACAAGTATTGTATGTGTTTTATATCATATTTGATATATCAGTCTTTTATGGCTCATATAGTACAATATAGAATACAGATTACACTCCAGGGGGAAAAACACAGGCCCAAACTGAGCAAACATCAGCAATTTGGTGCAGTAATTTATATGGCAAAAAAGATGAATTTCTGATTGTGATGCAAATCATTGTCAGCGATAGAAAAATGCATAAAAAGGTTGACTCGATTTATCCATACTTCATTTTTTTAGAGATGTATGAATAAATCAAGTAAACCATAAGTTGCTTCAGTCGAGTAAATCTTTGTCTTAAAATATTACTAATAATAGTCATCCTTACGTCTTCTTTGTTAAAATATATGTATATATATATATGAAGATTTCAGATGCAAAAGCCTCTAAATGCCATTTGAAATTTTCTTCTTTAATGATGATTTTTTATCAAACTTGTATATTTAAGTTCAGTAATTTCACTTAAATGGCAATGATAATTACCTATTAATTGTTATTTAAGTGAAATTACTGAACTTAAATATACAAGTTTGATAAAAATCATCATTAAAGAAGAAAATTTCAAATGGCATTTAGAGGCTTTTGCATCTGAACTCTTCATATATATATATATATATATATATATATATATACACACACACACATCAACGACTTCATAGAAAAAGAGACACTACCACAACCTATAGGTGGATTCATATTTCACTAAAATGACTTTTATTTGATAAAATAAAAAATAAAAATAAGTAGCCTGTGAACTATCAGTCAGAGGGCAGAAGGCATTTGGAAGATTGTGTGAAATGTGTTTTCAGTAAGTTTTGTAATCATAATTGAAACGCTTTAGAAATGAATGTATTAAATGTGATAGGCCTTTGGGTTCAACATGTTTCACACGTAGGCTACGACAAAAAAAAATGTAGGCCTATTCATCACTTTGCTAGTTCAAAATCAATCAACAACGAAAGAGCCGAGAGAACGAAAAGAAGCTGTGAAAGCCACGACTAGATCAGCAAAACATTATTAGGCTGGCTGTTACTTTTTCAGTTGGGTTATAGCCAATCAGTCATGTCACAGCAGCATCATGTTAACAAACTTTTACAACTGTTGTCCACTGTAGGCTACTTACACTCGGTTTAAACTGTGGATCCAATCGATACAGATCCTCAAATTTCCACTGGGGCAGAGCAGTAAAATTGTGCTTGTCCATAAACGGCACAAGGGTTGATTGAGTCTCGAGAGGAACATTGTTTGCTCCCGCGTCATTCACAACAGAACTGTTGGTTGGCTCGGGATTCTCAACTGTGACATTGTCTTTATCCACCCCAAAGTTGTAATACTGTCTAAGGAGAAGGGATTGCAACTCTAGTTATAGCCTGTGACTTTACATGATAGTATGTAAAAAAAAAGTAAAATGTTGAATTTAAAAATGGGACATTTTAAGTAGCCTACATTTTCCGTTTCTTACCGCACATTTGCTTTTATAGTGTAGTTTTCATTCCAAACGTTTACAACAATAAACAGGAGTAGGCCTATTAAAGTTATAAGGGAAAGGACAAAGAATATCCTTTGGAGAAACATCCTCTGTGAAAGCTTGCAAGCGCACCTGTAGCCTAGCCTAAATTGATTTAAAGCTGATTACCGACGACTCGAGTGAACTGCCTACCTAAAAACATTTTATGAACATCATCTGCGCGCTGTCGCTAGTCTACTGTGTGAAGTCGCTTCTTGTGGGCGTTCGTTGTCCCGTCGCTCTAATGTTATTGGTTGACTGCACGCCTGGCCATATAACCTACAATATTTTAATTTGACTATAGGAATTAGGCTCAAAAGAAATGCTGTTGGGAGAGGGTTTTTATTACCACAGCGGATTAAACAGTTTACTAAGATTAATAATGATCAATCAACAAATTAAACTCACTCATGATGTCATAAATTATTAAAACTCTTAATATGTTTTATGTGTAGGCCTAATGTTATGTACAAGTTATTACATCAGGGCTTTATGCCTTGTCTGTATTTTAAGGTGTTTTGTGACTTTCTTTTAGATTTCTTCTTTGGCCATGATTGGTGGCCAAGATGTGAAGAGAGTGGCGTGGAACATCCTCTCTCGAATGTTCACTGAAGATGTGGCCAAGAACATTAGCTGGAAGGGGGTACACGGCAAGAGGGCATTCGGTCACATGTCCTCAAAGACAATGATGTACCGTAAGTCACCCCACACACACACACACCCCACACGCACACCCAACACCACACACCCCACACACATCACCCCACACACACATAAACACCACACACCCCACACACACACCCAACACCACCGCAAC